GGAGGGCATGAAGTGCAGCTGCCCGGACATGTTTGTGGGCGAGCAGTGCGAGCATTGCCTGAATCTCACGTGCGAGAACGGAGGCGTCTGCCGCGAGACGCTGACCGGAACGCCGCAATGCGAGTGTCCCGACGGCTACACGGGCAAGCGGTGCGAGATCAACGAGTGCGCCGACTTCTGCAAGAACGGAGGCTCCTGCGTGATTGGGTCGAAGGGCCAGCGGCAGTGCAAGTGTCCCAGTGGCTTCTACGGCGAGCACTGTGAGTCCAGCTCGTGTCGGGACTACTGCCAAAACGGAGGAACCTGCTCGGAGCGTGGCCGTTACTTGAACTGCATCTGCCTCTCACGATACTATGGAAGGCGCTGTGAGATGGATATCTGCTTGACCTCCGATCCGCCGCAATTCTGCGAGGCATCGCAGGTGCCCGTCAGGAATCCCTGCACGGGCATCATTTGCCAGAACGCCGGCACCTGTCACGTCATCAAGGGCGTGGCCATGTGCAACTGCACGGATCAGTGGAACGGAGACTTCTGTACTATGCCCGTGCTGGAGGACAATCCTTGCATACGGTACTGTGCCAACGGGGGCGTCTGCCACCTTGACGAGTACGTCCGGCCCCACTGCAGCTGCATTGGCGAGTGGCAGGGTAATGCCTGCGAACTGCCGCCGCACTGCGTCGGCGGAGAGTGCAACGTCTGCCGTCCAGGTAGCTCCATCAATGAGTGCCTCTGCGGAGCCCAGAAGGTGGTGCCATGTCTGACGGACAGTGCGGAAGGTGCCTTGAAGGGCGACCAGGAACCCACGCAATCGGGCAGCGTGCTCTCCATGTTGGCGGTCATCTTGTCTGTGACTCTGCTGGTGGTGGCCCTCTTCGCTGGTGCTATCTATTTCCTCAAGTGAGTTTTCCTCTCCTTCCCAGTCGGCGTCGTGATCTAATACATTTTCTTTGGTGCAGGAAACATCGCATAGCGCAGCCATTCTCGCATGCTCGTCTGACGGACAACGTGGAGATAATGCTCACCAATGCCATGTATCGCGGGGATGCCGATGAGCCACCCACATTCTCCACCGAAGATGATAAGGTGCGTACACTATCTGGGCAGTAGGTGTGTCTATAAATTCACTTAAATCTCTCTTTTGCAGGGGAACTTTGCCAATCCCGTATACGAATCGATGTATGCGGACGCCATTGCGGAGCCGGCGAGCACGGAAATAGCGCACAGTACGGGTCCGGATGAGCGCAAGGGACTGCTGCAGCACACGCACGACGAGACACACACACCGGACATACTCTGATGATTGACCATCGATGATTCCGATCGAGAGCTGCGCTAGGCGCACTCAATTCTAGACACATCCCAAACTCCAAACACTCAATACCGATTTGAACTCGAACCATGGACTGATAGCGTAGCCATATAACGAATTTTTTGTAAACATTTTGTGTACATTTATTTCCTTTTTCCTTTTTAATTTTTACTTTTTATTTGTATTTTTTGTTTATTGTAATTCTTGTTTTTATTTTGAGTCTCGTGTATTCTATTCCTTCAATTTGTGGGCTTACCTGTGGGCCCCGCATCCAAAGAGCTCTTACTCAGGCAGCCTTGCAGCCCCAACGATGTCCTTATATACCTTAACCGGGAATACTTCTTGTCATTCGTTTACAAGTCTAACAAGCAATGAACTTTTGCCTTTTATGATTGAATTTTATATATTGTATTTTATTGTATTGTGTATGTATGTATCTGAAACGTTTTGTGGATCTGTAAATTTTGTAGTTGGTAGACTTAGTTGAAGCTCCCGATCTGTCGAGAGCTTTGTACATATTTTATACATTAATTGCCCAACAAGCAGCCTAGTTAACGTTTAACAAGAACAAATTAACAACCAATTCGAAGGAAGAAGAAGAAGCACTCACTGAAACCCATCCCCCTTGCCAATTAGTGAACGAAAAGAAACGATGCGATACGAAACGAACAATTGTGAAACGAATTCGTCTTTTGAGATTGACCAAAAATGCATTTAAATTAATCTAGTGTTCACAATGCCAGGATGGACGATACGATCAAGATATACAAAACTAACGAACAAACCGCATAGCCGATATGCATAGGATAAGTGCATTAACACATAGTTTAACGTTTAAACAATTATTGTATGAACACGTATCAATATTTAGATTGCACTCATCTTTCAAATCGAATCAAATCACTCCAACTCAAGCCGAAAGCAAACCGAACCGAACCGTACCGTACCGTACCGAGATTTCCTGTATAGATTAATGCTCAGAAAAACGCCAAATTTTAACAATTATACAATGTAAAAATTTAATAAATATACAATTAAATATATGTATGTATGTATTACCGTAAGCAAAGTGCGAGGCGATTTACTATGCGCACGAAAAAAGTGCACTCTGGAAAACCATTGTAAAAAAAATAAATATTCAACAGAAAATTGCAATAATTTGGAGGCAAAGAGTTTTGCCAGCCTGGGAAAGGATTTCGATTTCATTTCCCTTTCAAGGAGCTCGAGGAGTGTGAGTGACGCGTGGTTTACTTCCGCTTCGGTGTGTCTACCTGTGGGATCCCTGGGAAAAATAAAGTAAATACTTTTCCACATCTTCGAGACCCATCAGACGAGTGAATGTATTCCATGATGCTGAGATACTATGCGCCGGGGTTGCGCAAAGCTGTTCAATCACAGCCATCGCACGCCTATTGATACGAGTAGATACGAATACACTTGTTACCCACAAGAAAACCAGAATCGGCAGAAAAGAGCCAGAGATACGAATAGCTGGGCCCATTCAGACGGCTTGCGTGAGAAATGCAAGCGATTTGAATTTGCTGCACAGGTAGATGGGTAGGCCGGCATCGGGATACATTTCAGTCCAGTCTTTTCTTGTAGCGAAAAAGAATTGGAAAAAGAAAAGGATCACAGGGGCATATTCAAAGTGCGTGTGTGGGAGAGTTCCAGCTAAGCACCGCATGACTTTGTTGTTTGCGAGGATAACTCTATTGTGGCCCCAGGAGTTTGGCTGTGGGAAAATCTTCGCCAACAATGTCCAGAGTTTAAGAATTTTTCGCAAGTTAATTTGGTAAATGACAATTAAATATGTTGTTGGGAAACCAGAAACAAAAGATAAAGGTAGGCGCTAAGATATAATCTGATGATAATGGAAGACCTGTTTTGGCATCGGAAACTCGGAATATTTCAACGAAATCATACAGAAATGCAAGTAAATTCAGATTCCCACAGTGGTTCCACAGAACAGAACGAAATCAAAAGTAGAAATAAGAGTGATAGCCACACAGAGACACTCACTCACACACAGATACACAGGGGCACATTCATGGATATCCCACCAAGATATCCCCCCATCCCAATCCCAATCCCAGCTTCAAATCACAGCGCACACAAAGAGAAGAAATCGAAGGATCCGTAGAGACAAGTGGAATGCAAACAGGCGAGACGAGACGGGTCGGGAGGGGCGGGGGCAGACAAGACCGACCTGCGAACAACCACAAGGCAAACAAGCAAAGATAAAGGATCTCAAGGATGTGTGGGAAACATACACGAAACAAGTGCAACGGTATCTGGAAATGCAAAAGGATAATAGCGTAAAAAGGAAATGAAAATTATCATAATTTCGTTTCTCTCTACTTCTCTCACTCTCTGCGCGTAGGTGTTGTTGTTTTTCTCACAGCATGGATCGGGTAACAGCAGAGCCTCGGCTCGGATATGACTGAGTGTGGGAAGGGCTGTGAAGCAGCTAGGGATCCGGAATCCGAATCCGAACATCGCGGGAAGGTGGGGGATCGTCCCGCCGCTTAACTGGCGATGCGACGCTCGACAGCCACACGCAAGGCAGCCGCAGGATTGGATCAGGCTGTTGCTGAAGCTATTACGGAAGTGAAATCAAATTTTTAACTAAAACAAGGGGAAGCGTTGTGAGTTGCTGCTACGGCCGCACCTCTACATTTATACTCCTCCGGCAGACTGTGCTATGGATGCTGATGCTTTATGGGGCTGGAAACGTTTCCTTCTGGTACCACACATCCACTTTCACCACAAATCCATTACACCCCCGATACGCTTGGTGTAGCGGGTATTCAAATATTAGTTTAAGCTACAGCTTCCAACAATAGCTCTGCATGAGACATTGAGACATGAAAACATTAAATATTTGGGATTATTTGTTAATTTGCAATACCAGAAAACAAATATGCAGCTCGAGATATTGCTGATCTCCATTGTTTTTGTTTTTGCTTTTGGTATGAGTATCGGTATATGTTGTACATCCGACGACTCCGAAGTTACGACGAAAGGACGAGGCGCAGCTCGTCGTAGGTGTTATATGTATATATGATATATGTTTATGTAGAAAAACGTATTATTTTTACATAATTTCTTTTTTTCATGTGCCAAAATCTAAAATGTGTGATTGTTCCGCTGTCGCTGATTTTTCGTGTGATCACGTGACTTCCAGCTATGTGTGTGTGTGTTCGTGCTTGAAAATTCGTCAAGTTTTGTCCCTTTCCCACTCCATGATGTAATAGTGCAGTGACGAAGAGAATCAAAAGGGAATGAGTGCTCTCGTTCCAAGTGAAGCTCAGAATAGGGTGAGGCATTCCCAATACTGCTGATCTGACTTTCTCTTGCTTAGAGTGGCTACACGAACTTCGGCCCTCCTGTGCCTCACCTCATATTAATAAATAAATGCCTAAAATTGTGTTCTTATTGGAAATCATTTAACTTCGTAACTTCGTAGCTCGTCAGACGGTGACTCTCTTCATCAGAAGCGAAGCAAGTTTATGGGTAAGTGAGAAAAGAGGCGAAACAAATTATGTTGTTCATTCCATTGATACTTTTATTTTCTTTGTAATTATATTGATGCTGATATGATTGATATTATATATATGTACATTATGGGGTCGGGAACGCACCCACTTTGACCGGCCATAAAATCCAAAAGGGGAAACGGCCAATGGGAATGTTAATCAGTTTATAGCTGGCAGCTTTATTCAATCACTTTCATTTCCCCTCTACCCTTCTTTCTATTGCTCAGCGACCTTCAGTTCCCCTATTGTCCTGGGTATAGCCGAACAATCGCTTGAGCATGTTGTAGATAATCATTTGTCGCGTCACTTCCGCCTCGTACTGCATGTAGTCCTTGAGGCGATGCTGCTTGTACAGCTGATCGAGCAGATCGAAGAGTTCCATTTCGAGGGCTCGCAGAGGCGCCTCCAATTCGGGTGTGTGTGTGCCAGCGACCAGGGCATGCATGTAGATCGTTGAAATCTTCTGCAGTGCCTCATCCAGGGAATTCAGTGTCGCATCCTGCGGATCGTGCAGGAGCTTAACGGGTCCGGTCAGCCTAGGCGAGGCCCGATATGTGTGCCACCGATCGTCCGAATCACTTGCCAAGCAGATCAGCGGCAAGATTGCCACAATTAGTGCTGTTCGCCATGTGAAATGTCTGTACTGCATTGTGAAAATGTTATATATATTCGAAAAACTTTACTATAGCTTCAACGCACGCCTGAGGATCACTGCGTGCTCTGGTCTGCAATAACTTTTCGCGTTTAGCACGCTGAACGAGTGCCTTCTCCTTATATACTGACAGATTGCTTGGGGGACCCTGTAATGGGCGGCTTATCTGTCTAGTTGATGATAGCAAGATCACAGGGCTATTTCCTCAGCATAGATAGTGCGAATGCAACTTCCGTTTTCTAGTAGGGTTCAAGATCCACATAGGTCAGGAATTGTTCAAATGAAATGCATTTCAAGTTCCCATCTCACAGTAATAATGCTAGAAAGATCGAATATCAATGGGTATGGTAATAGTTTTCAGAAATACGATCCGATTTTTGCATGTTTTTGAGCATTTATAATTTATTTTCACTCATTTTCCGTCCTCTACGTTGTCGCTTCTACTACAAATTATGCTTAAAAAACTTTATAATAAAATACTATATAATTGAAACGTGAGAAACACTATACTACAAGGAAATCTACATAACTTAACTAAAACATCCGTTAAATGATCATTTTAATAGGAAGATAAATGACAAAAACATCTTTAGTCAATGAACTACATAATAGTACAAGTGTTTAATATAAAAATTCTTAAATGAGAATTACACAAAAAAATATACAAAATCACAGCTGAACTTAAAATAAAGAAAGCAAAACATAGAACATGGAAAAAACATATACATATATAGCATATATATATAGATATCGTATCGTAGAAACTTAATGGGTTCTAAAGCATTTGTTGTTGTTGGTTGGATTTGGATTTTCGAATAATTGCGATGAAATAAATTAACAAATTGAGGGTAAACTTAACATAAAACTTTGTCGTCATCATTCTACTTCTCATACATCATCCATCATCCATATCTGACTCCTCAGATGTGGGATTACGATTACGATCGATAGATCGATCTACCAGGGCCTCCAGGCGGAGCTGGACTTGTCGATGGCCGCGGCCAGGAACTTCTTAGACGAGGGTTCGTCCAACGAACAGTCACTAGAATCGGCCTCCGGCTCCGCCTCCACCTCTGCCTCCCGTTCCCGCTTCGCTGATCCGCTGGTGGAGCTCACTTGCTGCTGCTGCAAGTGGACCAGGGAGCGCGAGCATCCGCTGCTGTCGTGGCTGCCGGCGCTCAGGTTGAGCGATCCGCTCGTGTTGAACGATGTCTCGGCGCTGGTCGGCGGCGGCGTGGAGAAGACACCGGCGAAACTGTGCTTGGCCAGAATATCGACGGTCGGCGAGGCGGCCCGGGACTCATCGCCATGGCTGGACATCGACGAGATGGGACTCAGGGGGGGACTGCTGGTGGGAGTGTTGCTGCTGTTCTTCACCGGCAGCTGTGTCTGAGCCGGGATCTGTGTGTGGCTTGGGATCTGGCCAGTGGGTGCAGCCGCACTGGGAGGCTTGCTGAAGGCGCTCAGTCGGAAGCTCTGTGCGTAGTCGATGAGATGGGTGGGATTCGCAATGTTGGCCAAGGCGGCGCTGGCCGGGCCTCCCGCCGTGGCCGCTGTGCCTGGCCAGACAAATGGTCCGGCTGGCGGAGCCGTCGCTCCCGCCGTATTGGGCATTATCAGGGCAAACTCCCCGGATGGCAAGCGTGAGGGGATCAGCTGGAGGCCACCCATTTGTATGGATGGCGGAGTGGTCTCCGTCCGACTGTTGTTGTTCAAGTCCTGTGGCAGTGAGGGGAATAGGGGAGCGGCGGCGGCGGCAACGCCACCCACGGCGGCTGGGAACAGTCCGGCGGCCATTTGGCCCCGATATCCGCTGCTGAAGTTGCTCATCGAGCCAATCTGCTCCAGACTGTTGGCACAGTTGTTCAGATGGGCATTCAGCCGCTGACGCACACCCGTGTCCACGTCCAGCTGGCTGACGTAGCGATTCACCTCCTCGGCGCACTCGACGAAGCCCGTCTTGAACTTCTGCACCACTCCGGGGTCCGTCTGGATGGCCATGTTCAGCTGCTGGCGCTGCACAGACTGCAAATGCTTCACCGTCATCTCGAGTATGTCGGCCTTCTCCAGTTTGGTATGGCGTGCCGGCTGAAACGGGAGGAGAAAAAAGCCAAGATAATGATGAGTTGAATGTTGAAATTAAAGCAAAAGGATGGGTGTGTAGAGTGTTGAGGTGGGGTGGGGTGGGGTGGGTCTAAGCTAAAGCAGAAGCCGCCGCCGCTGCCGTCTGGCTAATTGTTTTGCCGGAGATGAGATCCCACAGACCCATACCCATACCCAGTCGCTGCTGCAGTCCCTATAACAAGTTCAATGCCTGGGAAAAAGTGAAGTTAAGGAGCACGTTTCGTGCCTCATATGTCCAACTATTCGTGTGTAATCTCTGCCCCGGCCCTGGCCCCGCGGCCCAACTTTGGGCCGGACCACTCTGCAAATATCACACGACCAAGGTGAGATACAACAGCAACAAGAAAAAGAACGGCCAGCCTCGATAGCCGAGGCATTTGATACCCTTGTTCCCAGGGCCTATAGATATTCTACAAAATATAGAGCCCCGATCTTGAGGATTTCGAAACGGACAAACGGATGGACATGGATCAAGAATTTATCTTATACACATTATATAAAGTTTCTTTGCTGCTTTGGAATACCCTTAGAAAGGGTAAAAGAACGATCTTCGTTCTCTGGTCTTCTCCCATTCTCTGGCCCTTTCCCTTTCGCTCTGCTGGCCCTCCCTGTCTGCCTGCCTGCCCGGCTGTCTCTTTCTCGCGCTCTGGGACTGCATATTTTAGCAAAAGTTTCCCACGCAGGTCGCCCGCTTCTTTCGTGCTCCTCTCCCCCTGGGGGCCCCCCTCTCCCGCTCCCACCAACTGGCTGGACTTGTCTGAATCTTTTGTTTACTTTTGCTCTTTTTCCCTTCCCTTCAACGTCTTTCTTATTTGATTTTTTGGACCTCATCTTCGTCGTCATCGCCCCGGCTGGCCTCCCTCCATCGCACTCCTGCGCAGAATTCTGCGGCGGCGAATTTTGTTTTATTTTCTTTTTCTTCTCACACAGCAGGATCACCTAAAGAAACTGGTTTCGGTCTGTCTGTCTGTCCGTCCATCGATTTCAGCGTAATTCCTCGACTTGTTAACACTTTTTGGTCTCCCGACTGACTCCTACTCCGTCGGCGCTCTCTTGTAATGATCATCAATAAAATTTAATACTCAATTAGATTGTTGACTCTGCCCCTTAAAGGAGTTCGTTTTATCCCATTTTTTGTGTGATCCTTTTGTGCTCTTGCCGCCGCCGGACACTTGAGTGTGTGTGTGTCTCAAGGGGGGTTTTTTTTTGTAATGTGGGACCTGACATAATTTATGGGGAAAGTGAACTGATATTGATCGGTGGGCCCTAGTTTCTAAATCACTGCCTCAGCACTTTGTTCATTTCTCTTTGGGTCAAGTCGATTTAACGGGTAATACTTACGTCTTTCTTCATGGCCTCCAGTATGAGGGATTTCAGCTCGTTCAGGCAATGATTAATGCGAGCCCTGCGACGTTTCTCCATAATGGGTTTGTTGGTCTGTAAAATGGTTGAAAGGAAATTGCATTACTGAACTGAAATTTAGGTCCTTTAAATCATTTTTTCTTCTCAAATTGCACTCCATCTTCTCCATCTACGATCCACCACACTCACCTTTCTCAGCTCGGCCTTGGATAATCCATTGGGATTGGACATGCGTCCGTTGCTGCCATAGCTGTCGCTATATCCATTCGAGCAGTCGAAGTCGTCGTCCGAATTGAGATCGTGTTTGTAATCCATTTTGATCTTGTTTTATTTTTTTTTTTTGTATATCCAAAATATTGTGGTAATCCAAAAGCTGAACACTTTTTATTTGGTTTTTGCTTCGTTTTTCTTTTCACAACACTAAACTTTGGTTCAAGTACGAATTGAGTTTCAACAATTATTGCACGTACTTTTCGCGATTGTCGGCGAGAAAACAAAAACTTAACAAATGTTCGCGTTTCGGTTCATGCGGAGAGAGCGAGCGGCAGAGAACCGCGCACACGAGACGAAAAAAGGATAATGATCCTCGACCGATCACGACTGCCGGTTTTGTACTGTGCGATACATTCGGGCGGCAAGGCCGTTCTGTCAAATCCACTCAACCACTGTACTCGGTTTTTTTCGGCTCAAAGGCACATAGTCCTCGACCGATCGAGGTGCTGAACAAATACGAAACGAGTCCCGACCTGAGCCGAACGACGTCTGATTACCTGAACGGACGTTCAACAGAGGCGAAAGAAGAGCGCGAGCGCAGGTACCCGAACCGGTTCCCACTCGTGTTCTCTGTATTTTGGGGTGGTTATGCAGACAGAAATTCCAGTGCAGTCGGCATTTCACTCGAGCGGCGAGTGAGTGAGAACAATTGAATTGAGTTGAGTGGAGAAACAGTCGAAACGTTGAGCACTGGTTCCGCGACTTTACATATGTATGTATATGTGGTATTCTGTGAGTTGAAATGAGAATTTTCGAGTCCACTTATGGTGAGGCTAGGATCGGGGGATTACCCAAGATCTTAGCTTAACCAAATAAACGAACCCAAGTCCAACACCACATTCAGACCAAAGCCAAGTCATTAAGGTAGAGGCGGCCAGCTGGCAAATATTTGAAAATATTTGTGCACTCGAATCTCACCCTTGGAGGGGATAAAGCAAACTTAATCAATGCCCGTCCAATGATTTGCAATTCATTAAGGATGGAACTCCTTGGCAATTGTTCGGGGTTGTCTTTTGCGCAGCTGTCTCGCGCAACCCCCTTGGCATCGGCAACGACAACGACAACCCAACCCCCTTGGAAGACGAAGGTCTTTCTGCCTGCTCCTAGCCGCATCATATAATCTTGCAAGGGGGTTGCTCTGGGCTAGGGCTAGGGGTCCGGTTTGGGTACGGGGTCAATCATTACCGAAGCTTACCTGATTTGGCCAGTTTTTATGACCGATCACCGTTCTTGGTTCGTGCAGATTTTCGTCCTCAAGCCAAATTTATTACTTTACAATGTTGGGAGGATTAAGGCCAAAGGAGTTGTCAATAACCACGGGGCCATGCGTCAGCTGACAGCTGGCGAATCTACCTCAGGATTGGGATTTAGATTGGGACTGTGGTGGGGAGGCCGGATTGTAGGTCGTAAAAGTATTGCGCCGACTGGCAACTCTGGTTATGCAAAGCAACATCTCACTCAGCTGCCACGCATTTGGCTCGAGCAGAAATCCCAGCATGGACTGGGCTGCTGGGGTGATCACCCATGTGCCATCCGAGCCCATCCATCCATCACATCACATCACTTACGATCATTTCCAGCGTTCATATAGAGTGTCAGCTTTCATAAATTGAATAAATGCTGGTTTTAGTCGTATACTTTTTGTGGTTTTTCGGTTGACAGTCTCAACTATTCAGATCCCGTGATCATTACATACATATAACAGTGATTACTTTCGGGTGACTAGTAGCCCTCCATTTAGGCGCAAATATGGCCAACATGTTCCCACGAAAACCCAATAAAAATCATGATCAACAGAACGGCAAAATATTGAAAAAAAATGAAGAAACCTCAAGCTCATCAGACACATGTGGATGTGTGATGTGGATCAATCGTCTGGCAAAACGTGCAGCGGAGGCAGTGGAGACAGCGGAGAGTCCCCTCCGATCACACACTCTGCTGCCTTCTTGAGAAACCAGACGAAAGCAGAAATTCTATAGGGAGGAGCAGAGGTAAAAATCAAAGTTCAATATCAGCCCCAAAACAGTTGCTTTGGCTTCCTTTTTTGTTTCGTTCTCCTTTAAGAGTATTCTTTGGCAAGGGATCAAGGTAAATGCCATTTAGTGTGGCACGATCGCTGATGATCGCCAAGCAGAGTGTATTTGTATCTGTATCTCCTTCTGTCTCAGCCTTTGGCTCCATATCCGTCTGCGTCTTGATCTTCATTTCGGTTTCTTTTTCGGGGCTTCCTTCCCTCAGTTTGGATGCGTTCCCAACGCACGATTTACACATTAAAACACTTTAATTTTTATTGTACAGCCGGTCGGAGCTTCGATCTGTCGATCAGTGACGATCTACTTCCCTTTTTTTAATCAACTCCGAAGGTGGAGCACATGGTGGGGGGAGGGAGAGAAGAGACCTTTCCCAACCTCAAATTAGTGACTTGAGGGTATTTTTAGCTGTGGGAACTGCAGTTATTACTTGGGGTGTGGTGTGTGCTGCTCTCGTAGATGCAACGCCCCCGCCTCCCCATCATCCGCCCTCATCCAGTCCATTCAGTACCCAAAATAATGAGCATGAAAAATATGAAACGGTAGCAAATGTGTGAACTGATCTGATCCGAGTCGCTCCACTCCGACGATCTGAAGTGGGGTTGGTGTCGGATGCGATGCTGCCTGGCCAAGATATATGTTGATTTAAATGAATTTCTTGTTGATTTTTATGGCGCTTAGTCGCGACTTGCATGCGTGGGGGGGAAACCTGAGTGAAGTGTGCGGTCTGCGGGGCATTAGAAGTCGTGACAGGGACCCGGGGACTACAATATTTGATTATTTTTTGTGGTAGATTTTATTTTTATGAATTTGATAAATGGCCAGCAGGGAGTTGGGCTAATAACTGGGAAAGTTTTTTCCTGACAGATGCCAGAAAAAAGGGGGAATAAATGGGGGAGTGTTTTCTTTTTATATACGGAAATATACTCTCCTCTCAAAGCAGAGGAGTGGGGACTACCTAGTGACTTCTTGGTTTAAATGGGCTTAAGCTTTTTGATATAAATTCTATTTTACTCAAGAATACAGAGCTACCTAACCAGCATTGGGATCCTGTGATCTCCATGAAGATCAATGATCTCATTAATGGGCGTTCTATTCCGTAAGTCATCGTAACGGTCAGTTTTTGCCGATCATCTGCTCCTCCTGTGACAACATTTGCACTGCATATGTGGCTCCTGCTCTCGTGCCACAGATTCGCTGCACAGCTGCTCGTCTCCCTCCTCAGACCCGTCTCTGATAACAATGGAATTACAGTCCGGAGTACGGACAATGGACGGCGCTAAGAAAACTGACTTTCTAGGGGACGAGCGGGGTTTGGTTTTTCTTTTGCCGCTGCCAAACATCTTACATAATCGCAGAGAAGATGCGACGATTCCTAGAGGCAGACGCGGCATGGATTTTGGATGAAGCGTGCCTGATGCGAGGCAGCTGCTGCTGCTGCTGGATGAAGGGTTGCCGGGGGATTAAGTGCGATCAGTTTGCTGTAAAGATTTGCGGTTGCCACTGATTCGATTCCCCGTGGGCCAAAGCCACTGTAAGTCCTCCTACCTTGCGATAAGTACAGTCAGACCCCGGGGGAAATCAGGCCGCACACACGAACAGAGACCAACAACTGGGCGTCATATCAATTCATAAATGAATAATAATTCCGAACGGAGCTAAAATTAAAACTAGGACCAGAGTCGAAGTCGAATAATGTGAGAAAAAAATGTTCTCACGATCACCTTTGAAGTCGGAACAGACGGCGCATGGAAATCCACGTGCAAAAGGGGGAAGTGAGCAAGCAAGCAAGGAAGGAAGGAAGAAACGGAACCGAACCCTCCACCATGCTACGCCACCATCATCCACCAGGCCGTGCGGTAGGAGGAGGCGGAGTAGGACGCAGGACCCATGGCTTTGGTGGTGGTTGGTGCTGGTGGGCTCGGCCCCCTCCCCTCCTACCCGCCCGACTGTCCCTGTCACCGTTTGTCCTTCTATTCCAGAGAGTGCATGAGAATTTAAATTATACACGCACACACACGCGCCCTCAGTGCAGTGCGCACAATCAACGGGCTTTGTCTGCGGCTGTGTGCGTGTGTATCGGCATGCAAGCGGGTCGGTCCGATAGGAATAGGGTGGGGGGGTGGCAGGACGACGCGAGGCGTGTGTGGGAACTTCTGACGGAGGACACTCGAGCATGAAGAGCGCGGGGCGCGGGCCATCATCTGGGAAGACAGGAGGCAATTATTATCCGTCCCAATTGTGATGCCCGCTAATGTCCTTTATTCCCACACACAGCCCACGAGGAGCAGCACAATCACCCACAAGCGGCGTTAGTTTCGAAACTTTCAGGCAATCCCCAGAGGAAATTTAAATGAAACCCAAAATAAACGGAATTATCGCCACTGCTAGAGAAAGAGAGAGAGACGGAGTACGGCAGAGAGATAAGCAGCACAAAAACAACAGCTCTCTCTCTTTCTTTTATACGCTCATGCGCAACATATGCCAAAAAAAACAGCAACGAAACAACACAGCAGCGAAAAGTCAAAGTCATCGAAAACAGATCATTTCTGTGTTGCAGCTGTATGTAAGACAGGGAGGCCCACATAAGTGCCCTCATTCAAAGCCATGTATAAATGCATTTCTTTTCCTATTTTTAAGCATTCAAAATGATAAGAACAAGCGATGGTTGTGTGTGTATGCGTGTGTCGGTGTCTTTGCATTACTCATGCGCAGTAGCATCTTTCGGTATTTTCCGGCCGCGAGAGAGCCACTTTCAGTATTTTACCACTGTCACACTAGAAATGTGCGGTGTCTTGTTGTTGTTCTCTCGCTCTCTCGCCCGCTCGCGGAGAAATATTTTGCTGGCTGCCGGGTGATGGTCATACTGACACAGAAAATGCAAAAAAAGTAAAAGCAAAAAAAGTTTAAAAGCGTAGGCGTGACAAACGGTAGAAAAAGCGTTGCGAATAAGAACTGTTGTTGACACAAAAAGAAACAAGAGTTACCCCGAGTGCGGCACGCAAATCAAAAGCAAAAGAAAGACAAAATCAGTTAGGCAAAGTCAAGAAA